CAAAGCATAGCCTTACTTTATTGTTTTATTCTCCTTTTATTTCTTCTTTTATCCTGATTGTTTTAATGTTTTTAATGTTTTCCTTATTTTATTTTGCCCCTCATGTATTTTATCATTCACTGTGGTATTTTATGTCATCTTTCTCTCTGTGTCTCTCTGAATCACTTTGTTTTGATAAGTGCTCTATAAATCAAGTTTTTTATTATTATTATAATTCAATATTTAATTCTTGGTTTCAGTTACACATTTATTGCTCTCACCATTAGGTGGCAGAATACATTGTCTGTGATACAAGGCAAGTAGAAGAAGACTAGTTGCAGTTGATAGTCTGAGTCTATGGTCTGCCATGTTTGTGTGTGTCTGCCTACTTCTGCTGTACTGTGCTTGCAAGCTTCACTGAGTCTTGCAGGTGAAATGATAACAGAGAATGTTCCTCTGCATCATTAATGCCGTCGCAAAATGGTGCAACACCGACAAAGATTTCCCCACTTTCATCTCACGATTGGCAATGTAAAGTGGCCTTTAGTGTTATTTACTGTCAGATCCAAACATCTCTAATGTCGCACTATGCATTCATTGTAAAGTAAGAATTTCAATATGTATGCACAAAAAACAGATAATAATAAAAACAAAATGTCAATTGTTCATACTGAAACAACAAACATTAGAAAAAGCGCTGTGGCAGAAAGAAGTGTACAAACTGGCAAACCCACACATCATCACTAATAAAAGTCCACATCTATGAGACCGGAGAGGTTGGTGCACTGTTAAACAATGCTTAATGCCGTGGCGGCCACCTGCAGTTACATTTACATCTGTGGAGAGCTGCAGTGTTGCCAGGCATGAGAGTGGGCCAGACAGATCCATGGCCCGTTGCCCAGAACACTGCTGCTCGGTCCCGGGGCTAAAACCGCCTGTCCCAGCCTGGCTCCTAATGTAACCTCTACCACCACTTCCCAATGGATCCACTCTGCTCGTGTGTGAGATAGACACACTGTACCACCAGTCGACTTTCCTAACATTTCATTATGGTTGCATCTCATTAATTTCTTGTTGATGTTTGGGTTATGTAACGAGCGTCACATTTCTGATCCATCTGTGATTACAGTAAGGTGCAATCACAGATGGATACTTTCATCTGCTGTTTGCCTAAGTGTTGCCATCGCTGCCAGCTTTGTTTACAAAGCGATTTATTGGATTTTAGGGGGTTTTATGTCTCACTTTCACCCTTCCATACAAGCCTGGTATGTGTGAACACACCCCTAAAGATAGTACAGAGAAGAGATATGTACATTAGTATACTGATGTAGGATGTGTTAAAGAAAGATGCAAAACAGTATATACTTATATTCAGGCTTCACTCACAGTAACATGTATAATGAAAGCCTAAATTCATAACAAAACATTAAAATATGATGAGTAGCTCCTTTTGATGTATTAATCCTAAGGAACACGTTGTGAGACCTGTTCCAGCTTGTAAACATCTAAATGTTTGACCCGTGTTTTAAATATGTGATTTATTGAAGAACCTCAAAAACCTCCCTTATTCTGAGCACCGTTACCAAAACTAATACTGTTTAAAATTCTGCAGCTGATACTTTCATTAGGTGCCCTGTTAACCTGGTTCCCTCAGCCTGCACTGTATCACCACCCTAACTGGAGATAGGTAGTCAAAAATATGAGCAGGGATACTGAAGACCCCACAAATAACAGCATCTCATCGGCTCTGGTTTCTTGCTGCTGTGAGCAACATTACACCCCACCAAGTAATTACCTGTTTTATTCCAAAGACATACCAGCGCACAATTCATTTTGATTTATTTGTTATTTGGCTTTTCAACGAGGGTGTGACTCTGCATTTACTGAGACTGAATCACTCTCTGGATCCTGAGTCTATCACTGCAGTACTAGAGGAGAGCTAATCAAATCCTGCTGCCCACCCCAATTTGGATGGCTCTCGGTTAGGGAAGAGCAGAATAATTCATGGACTGCCAAGCTCGTGTGACTGACCAAGGTGAAAATAGGTAGACTTTTATTGCAATCCAGATTATTTATTAAACCAAGCCATGGCCCTCTTCAGTTTAATAATTAAGACTGTGGACCAGTTTTACATTTTGTATTTTGCGATTCATAAAACTTCTAAATTAAATTAAAATGTTCTAATAAACAGTATTGTGCTTTCCAGTCGCAATTTCTGAACGTGTTATTCATTATTTTTCAAAGTGAGAATGCTCTTGGTAGAAAAAAAAAAGCATTTTGCCTATAATTGTTCCAGTCAAGACAGGGCAAGGCAAAAATATACAGTATATACTGAAACTGGTCTGTGCACCTTACATAAATAAGAATCTGAGAGCTTGTTCTTTCAGTGTTAGTGGGTTTTATCTCTGTGAGTTTTCAATCTGTAATCCAGCTACCGAACATGACGATTAAATAACGATAGCATAGCAAGACATAGTTATAGCATAGGTGTGTTACCCTGTGAGACATGCAGGACAAGCTGTTTCCGTGATTTAAGAAAATGACTGCTCACAGCCTTTTCATATCTGACAGTTTCTCATGAATTTTGGACTAACAAGCAAAGCAAAAACAAAACAAAACATGAGCCAATCCAAAGAGTTTTCCCGCTGTGGCCACAAGAATGCCAGTACACACCACTGTAACACAGATGTTTCAGATGCCGGGATAGGCCAGCCTTAATGGCTTTGTTGCAATGGACTACACATGTAGACAAGCACTGTCTTTTCTTTTACTATCTAACTTTCCCACAACAGGTTACAGGGCATGTTTTTGTGTAATCTATTAAACATTGCTGGCAGAGGAGATAAATGTCCAAAAACAACAATGATATCTAGATTAAAACTTCATTCACCATGTAGGCTACATTAGGTGATGAAAAAGAGTGTTTTCAGAAGTTGTAGACTAGGACTCCCTGTATGCATGCACTGCACATGAGAAAAAAGACTGTCACTGGCAGCCACCTTCAACTGCTTTATCTCTTACTCCTGCTGATTGTTACAAATTACTAAACATATTCTGATCATGTGCTTTTTGCAAGATGTCCCTGTGTCTTTAAAAAAAAAGAGAAACACAATGTATCTTTATAAGGACTGATAAGTGAGCTTTGAAATGTTGGCACCACTTTCTGATAAGTCACCCTTTGAGGGGTTTAAAAGTTTTAATTAGTGACTTTATTAATGGTTAATAAATAATTTATTATTTACAGCCATTAATTTAAATAAAAACACCTTTCAGGTTGCCAGGTTGGGGAAAGTTGATAAGATCCATTACACTTTATTAATAACTTACTAACATTTAACTGCAGACCTGAGACCCACAAGTATAATGGATTACAAAATGAATTCATTGAAACACTGATGTAACCAAGTCTTTCTTAATAAACAGTTCTCTCTACATTTCTGCTATCTAAAGTGTTGAACTTATCAAAATAAATATCAATTCTGCAGTTGCACATGTTAATAGAGTCATAAAAAAGGCTCACAGCTTTCCCACTTTCAGTTGTCTTCATGTTAACATAATGTTATTAAATTATTGGGCTAATATAGAGTTGTTATACAGGAATCCATCCAGTCTGCATTTGTAAATAATAATTAAAATATTTGGTCCAGATGTCCTGCAGCCCTTTTTTCACAAGCTAAGTCCACCACCAGTCCATTGGAGGAGTCCTACTGATGAATTAAGGAGACAAAGCATCATACAGGAGAGGGATTTTCAACAACCTGGCAACTCGGAAGTTGTTCTTAATGATACCTTATAATTGATCTATAATTGATCTATAACGTTTAGTAAATAATTTATGAAGCATTAATCCATTATTAATAAGGTGTGTCTTATCAGAAAGTAGTGTATTTGTGAATGTAAAAATGGTCCTGCAACATGGTTCCACCTTTGGAGACATTTCTGGTGTTTAGAGACACAACAAACCCGCAAGCCCAGATGAAAGTGCAGCTGGCGATGGGAGCAGCTGGATTCTTCATTACAGGACGAGCGCGCTGCAACTGATTAGACTGATAAATCAATAACTGCAATCAGCACTTTAATGATGAACATATAAAGAAAAGCGATTCAAACGAACAAGTCGAAATTACCCGGGGGATGAGCCGAGGTAGTCAATGAATGGCGAACAGTATATAAACGTCGAGAGTGAAGCGTGCGCGCGTGTGTGTGTGAGTGTGTGATACAATTTCTACTGCAGAACTTTAATGACAGGCGGCAGCAAGGAGCGGCGGCAGTGGACCTAAAGATACGCTAGTCGGCGCTTTCAGAATGAAATTCAATAGCCTACTTGTGTGTTGTACAGTGAATTGGGGCCAGAGGAGTTGCACCTGGAGAGAAGCCCTCCCTGCTCGGTCTGTGTAAGTTAGTGAAGCCACAAACCTCCACTAACATCATTCATACCCATGAAGGATCAGATAGGCTACAACAACCATACACTGAGCTGCAAGACACGCACAGTGAGGCAGAGATGCGTCAGTGCCTTACTGTAAATCTTGATCATCTTGAGCGCGTGTCCCCGCGTCACTGTGTAGTAATTCATCCTAAATGTAGACACCGGGAGCACTGAGGGCCCACAGGACCACGCCAGATCATGAGAGTTACAGGTGAACACCTCAATCTCCACGATCTCTGACAACAAGGAGGCAACCGTCTCTTTCAAACGCCTGCTGTCTGCATCCTCTACCTGCCTGTGACAAAAGACAAAACTCTTGACATGACTTGTCAGCATGCTTCAAACCCTGCAATCCATGTCCTTACAACCATACTGAGTGACAGCCTTTAGAACTGCAAAGTCCCATCCTTTTGCCTAATTCCAATTAAAGAACGACCAGCCTCGACGTTCATTTATTGATCTGTTTTTAAAATGCAGCTTATTTCCATGTCGTTTGCCAAGCATCAATTTTACGCAGTCCGTTCCTACAAACCCTCCCCCTTATTTTTTCCTTTTCTTTCTTATTTTGTTGTTGTTGTTGTGGTGGTGGGATGCGTTACCAGCAGCACTTACACAAAGCCTGCATTTGGTGAGGATCTAATTTGTAGCATATGGCTTAATAATACAAAAGAAAGAAAAGACAATTGGAGAGATCATTTCCAATCTTGCGCGGTGGGAGGGAAGATTTCAGTCAGTCAGTCAGAAGGAGCAGGAAAGGAAGGAGGAGAAAAAGAAGAAGAGGAAGAAAAGTGGGAAATCTCTGCAACCCCTGGAGTCTCATTCAGCACCACGCTCTTCTGGACAGCGTCTGAGCAGCGGACAAACAGGAGATTTGTTCAAACCTCGAGTCTGGGAGTAACACCGCATCTGTACAGGGCGCTTTATTCCTCCCCCCGCAACTAACAACACTTTCTAATTCATACTGGAATTTTGACTTCCCACATCTTTCATATTCTTTACCCCCTTTAAACCTCTTTTTTGATCCGTGTGGCGGGTTTGGCAAGCAGCGTTCAAACAGGAGGCGAGTGCTGACTGGAGCTGGCGCCGCCAAACAAAGACGCAGGAAGAAAAAGAAAGAAAAAAACTGGACGGCATCAGGGATCGCAGAAGTTCATTTTCTCCACTTTGGGCTCACTTGTATCGGGCGGATTTAAAGGTAAGCGTGTTCCATTTCTTCTACATTGTCACATTGGGAGCAGCGGGGTTTAGGAGTGGTGTGATGCATCACTGAGTTACGCAGCTGTGTGTCTGTGCTGCACAGATATACTGTCTGTTTGTCTGTCAAACCACTGAGAGCCACGCTGGTGTGCTTCGAAAGCTACGTACGAAAAATTAAGGCATTTTGATTGCGCTCAGTACGACTTTACAAACCCTTTCCCTGTGAATACTAGTGTGTTTGTGTCTGTTGGAAAGGTTTAGCCCTGTTTCGCAGGGCTGTGGTCCCCTCTCAGATCACAGACTCAACAGATGAATCACCTTTGCTGAAATGGTTTAGGAGAAGGGACAGCCTGGGGTTTCTCGTGGAGCTGATGAGGGGAGACTTGACTTTATACAATGAACCCCTTCATCAGCTGTGTGTCCATGGGAGCCCCCTCTGCAAGCCCCTCTCGCCTTTCCGCTTCACTTGGTTTGCTGTGGTCCCTCACATCCACAAAAACAAATCAGGGGAGTCTAGGTCTGATCAATGCACAGATGAAGACAGACAGTCATTTTAAACTAATGCAATTCAATTAAGTGGATTAACAGTGGATATAGGCGACCTATGCACCATTCTTAAGACGCATTGAGATCTCCTTGTTGGGTTGTTTGTATGACTCAGTGGCAATCCATCTTTGCATTCAATCATTTTCAAAAGCCGTGACGCCCTGGTGGGTCATATGGTTTTGCAATGGCTCACTTGATTATGCATCACTGTCAGATAATGCATTAATTGCTGCTCATATTTCTGCTGCTTGTAGGCTGTTGAATGCATGAAGTAAGTTTTAATATGTTGAAACATTCAAATGATAGTTATTTTCCTTCAAGGACTGTACCCTTGTCTTCTAAGTTAACAAAAAAAAAGAAAGACAGAATTTGTTGGCACAGACATCCCGGAGTGTTATGTATTAAGATTTCTGTGCACTTACCATGCCAGAGAGGTGCAATGGATTTGTTCTTAACAGTCTGTGTTTTGCAGGAGGATTGATCAGTTACATTAACTCATTTAGCTGATGCTTTTATCCAAAGCGACTTACAATTGCTATATATGTCAGAGGTCACACGCCTCTAGAGCAACTAGGGGTTAAGTGTCTTGCTCAGGGACATGGGTCTCCCACACCAAAGGCATGTGTTTTACCACTGTTCCATTGCCACCAGATGTTCGCAAGTTCCACTACATAACCCTCTGGATCCTCATTGGATTTCAGTCAGTGAAAATTATTGAACTGAGGTGATAATCTTAAAATTCAAAATTTCATTTGATGCAGAAAAACAAAAACAGGAATGGTACAAAATGATACTAAGCCAGAATAACAAAAAAAAATACACGCTTACATTGTTGGTCTTTAAAGACCAATCAGATTCTCCCTAAACACTGCTTGGAAACAGCCATACTCACACAAAAATGCCTCACTGAGCCACTACATATTTTATTTGAAACAATCTTGTTTTTGGAAAAACAGGAAAATGGATCTTTTGAAGCCCTAAAACAAGTGCTTTGAAATACCCATCAGAAGACTTTGCTGCAATAACACTTTCCCTTTTTCGTTGGTAATTTCATTTTCACAGTAAGAGACCAGATTCATGGAATCTTTGCATTACTAATTCTACACCAAGTCTGAACCCTTTGAGCAATGTCACACTGTCTGAAATATAAGATCTCCATCAGCAGTCTCGGTACGTGTGCGTTTGTGATTATCCTGGAGAGAAAAAAATTGTTTCCCCAATCTTCACGGTAGCTTACTATGTGCCACTGTAGACAACTTCATTGTGGTGGGTTGAAGGTTTCTTTTCATACTAGCAATAATGATTATTAGTTTATTCATACTAAAATGTACAGGTTTTTCAGTGAACCTGAATGGTGTTTAAATCATATTTGTCACAAAAGCACTTATTATCTGCTAATCCAAAATCATGATGAATTACAGTCCACTCCCTCTGATCCAGAACTGGAGACAAACTCTTTTTGGCTTCACTTAGTTTCACGTTGTGGCACAGTGGCCTTCATCAGAGCATATTTGTACTTCATTATCTTGCTTTTACTGGATTTCCCTCCTTTATTTATGCAAAGCTTCATCTGCCCTGCAGTTACTACTTGGCTGTGCTGCTTTTAAACAGTATATCAAGGTGTTTTAAGCACACTCTCTTGTAACATTGCATTTGAGGAAGAAAAAGAACCATCTCTAAATTTCCATTAACGACATGTGAAGTGTGATTTTTTTTGTGTGTGCCCTTAACAGAACCCTGACAACAAGTCCCTCTAACAAGATCCACCAATTAAATGGCTGTGTTTGGTTTCAGTTATTGAGGTTAGGGTTCAGGCCATAACTCACCTTAGTGCCTGCCAATCGGAGGTGGGATTTGTAGGCAGCCTGGGAGGAAGTGCAGCTCCAGAGGCACAGTTCAGAGAAAGAAACAATTACCACAAAATGTATTGTTGACAGCCCCCCACCCAAAATATGCTTGCATCATAAACCCACCTCCCCTACAAATGCCTACTGTTTGAAGGGGATACGTGAACATTTAAGAGTGTACCTGCAGTATTATGTAAGTTTCTAATAGCATAAAGACATTCAGTATTTCAGTATTTCTCCTCATTAACAACTTTCTCCCAGAAACAAAAAACCCCCCGTCTCATTTGGATGCAAAGCCTGGAGAAGCTCCAATAAACAGAGTAAGAGACTGACTGTCAGCACAAAGCCTGCTACTTTTAACCTTTACATCCAAATGAGTTTCCTTGTACTGTAATCCGTACCAGACCTGATAATGTCCCCCTTATACCCAGAAAATCATCCAGGATATGTTTACTGTCAGTTCCTCCATCTTTTGTAATTCATTTTCCATGCTGCTGTGAGTTAGCGTGACATTATAGGAACAGGGCGGGATAAATGATTCGCCTCTGTCTGCTTCTCTTCCCTTTTCCTTTCAGACTGAGCTGAAAGCATACGTCAGTGCCGAAATTTACAGGCACCCAGCAGCTGAAAGAGTCAGACAGACAGACAGACAGAAAGACAGGCGGGGGGTCGTTTTATTTTATTTTTTTCTCTGTGTGTCAGATGAGTTTTAGATATCCATTCCTCTGTTGTTCCTTATCACTGCTTCTAGATCATGGAGCATCCACATTCTGGAACACCTCCTCTGCTTTCTCCTCCTGGCTGTCCATCTGTTCATCAGGGGGCCGTCTGTGTGGCCTTGCTGAGCTGACCACAGTCTGATGATCCCCAAAACAACTGCAGATCCATTCCTCACACCACACAATCCTATTTTCCAAACTGCTGATTCTTCTTCTTGGTGATCCTTTAACACTCTTTCTATTTTATTAGGCTTAGTCATTTCTGCCAAATGTGTCTTTTAGAGAAATAGTTTTATTGCAGGCTTTGGACTCTGGAAGTTCCTTACGTTTGATAAAGTCCGGATGCTTTCATGTAGAACCACCATGCTGTAAGAAAACTCTCTTACGACAGAGCCAGTGCATGAGAGCTACAACACGCCTACAGGTTAGCATCTTCATTAGACGCCTGTTGAAACTAATCAGAGATGACATCAACGAGTACTCTGGTTAATTTACAAGATTTACAACACAGACAATGTAGCAAATAATCTTTCCATCCCAGCAAGCGAGTTCCTCATAACGGAGACGCATTTGACAAGGTGTCATATAATCTTTGGTCCTAGCAAAGATTACAATGTCACATGCTGTCCTTAGCAAAACTGGCTTCAACTCACATTTTCAATCATTTATCCCTCTTGACCAGCAGAACTCATTCAAATGAGAGAGCCCCGTGGACGCATATCACTAGTACCTCTGTTAAAATTTAGACAGTTTAAGGCTTTGGTCCTACCTACCTACACCCTAAGTTGTGTAAGTGGGATAAAGAACGAGTAATAAATATTTAAATAGTACAGTGAATAAGCACCTTTATTTCTTTGACACATGGTTATCAAGACATTTTCTTCATTAAGCAGGGTGATTATATTCATTCCCCCAATATGTTTTAATCACTTGGTAAGATAAAGTAACAGGAAGCTCAAGATTTTTTTAATAAATAGATGTTAATTATGCTGGTGGTTTTGCCATCAGCTGCAACAGATGACATCAACAACTATTCAACGCTTCCGTTTACATGAATGTCTTCACTTTAATTTCCTGGTTCAGTGGCTCAGTTCTGAACAGTCGTGAATGGTTTCGTCACAGATGAGGAAAGTTTCTAAATATGACATGCTGCTCTTCCTTGGGCGTCCGTTTGGTTGTGTTATTGACAGATTTGTTGATTAGTGTTGGATTAAAATGTAGAGTGTGATTTGGCTTGATTTTTGACCGTTAAAAAAATCCAAACTACTTATTGCAAATGACAAAAATACAACAAAAAGAAAACAAACTGGGTCTGGCTAACAGCATTTGTTGGCTGTGATAGTATACATTAATGTTAAATGAATTAACAAGACGAGGCGCGTAAATCGCTTCCCGTGTGAAAAGGCCTTTAGGGTGGACATTAAACTGGTCATTGTTTATCACCTTCCCTTGAGCTGTAAATTACCGTTTGTCTTGGTGATGAGTTGAGTTTTCCAAATTAAATGTCAAAACATGTAATGTGTCCATGCCCTTTTGAACAACCTGTTTTTCTGACACACACTGTTATGGAATAAAAAATTACTTTAAGGTTTAAGTATAAATCACGGTTTTGGGTTAAAATTGCTACTTCGTGGACTGGGGGACCTTCGGAGAAACCTTCGGAGAAACCCACATCAGTACGAAATGGGATACGGACAGTGGCTTTATGTATTAAAGTCAGATGTTTTGTGGTCCCATCCATCTACACCAACCTCTGTAATAGCATCACACTTCCTTCTTTGCTCCTGACAGACAAGAGTCATTTTAACCACAGCCGCTAGAGGGCTTTGTCACTTTTTGTTTTTCTTGGAAGGACAGTCTCTGTAATTGTTTTGTGTTGTTTGGTG